CTCATCTTCCCAAGGTTCCCATAGGGCATCAATCAACATCGGGGATGTGAGCACAGAGACAAGACCCTGGTTCTCGTGGGGACTAGCAAGTCAGATAATCACAACTGCATGTTCACTATGCTGGCTGGAGCTAGGAGGGACATGACCACAGACATAGACACTCCACTCTATGCAAAGCCTTCAGGGAGGGAGTGCTGGACGTGCAGGCTGTGCTTCAAGAGCCCAGTATTTTGAAAAGCAGCCACCATCTTTGAATGCCAGGAGCCAGAGCCCCACTTGCAAGACTTCAGGCCATGTCATGTAGCCAAGATTCACTAACTTCACTAACATCCCCAAGGCGTTTTTTGTGGATGGGGTCTTTAAGTCATGATCCTCCTGCCTCAACCTCCAGGAGTTGGAGGCATGCACCACTGTGCCTGGCTTACTGGGGAGGTTTAAGTGGCTTCAACCTTAAGGTTGAAGGGTGTTCTCACCACCAATGCCTGACAACTGTGAATCTAAAATTGGCCTCAAGTTATGGCAATGGGCAGGATGACCACAGCCCCAAGGCCAGAGGCACAAGGACAGCTTGCTCCAAGCATACACTGGCAACTCACCTAAGCTCAACCCTCCACTTGCCCACAGTCCTGACCTGATTTTACCAAAAACAACCCAGAAATTGTTCCTTAGTGGCATGTCAGCAGCCAGGAAACCAATCTTCTTTGCAAGTGGTTTATTTTGGGAAATCTTTGCTCTTTCCAGGACATTTCATGATTTAGAAAACCCAAAGTTCACTCGGGTTTGAAATTACCTTTTTCAGAACACATTTTAATAATGCAAAACGCTCCATTTTTTCCCCGTTTAGACATGATACTTTTTCTTAAGTTACTTTGTTCAAATAAAACAATTTCTAGTATTAACTGTGCAGTATAAAGCCTCCAACACTTTCTCCTTGGGTGCTGACTTCTTACAGCATGGGAGAACCCTTTCTGTTTGTCTCCACAGAACAGAATTGTGCCCCACATACAGTAGACAATCTGCTGTGCGGCCGACCTGACTTTTCACAGAACTAAGATCTATGCTCACTATTCCTACAGCAAATACTAGAAATGACAGAAAATTCAGGCAAAGTAATATATTTTGCAACAATTTTCTTCCAATGAATGACTTATAAGTACTTTCCCACCACACACTGAACAGGTAAGCACTGTCCAAATTTTAACTGTTACATGAGACAAAATGTCAGATACTTGTATTTTATGTTACAAACGTGTCATTCCAATTATAGGAAAACTTTATTTCACAGGATGCTGACACCTGGTTCTGAACACAGCATACACAGCAAATTGGATTTTAAAACCAATCTGTTCATGAAAGCTTATATAGTAACTACATTAAATCTTATTTTTGCTAAAAAGTGATCATGTCTACCTTCTTCCAAGGTAGGATATTGTTTAAATATAATCAGACATTTAAGAACTTTGCAACTGGACTAGAATAAGCAGCTCTTAATGAGATTCCTAAATGGCATAGCAGTTTTGATGGACTAACTCCTCAGACAAAACAGATCTAATTTCTCTCTTCCCCAATTCATCTTTACACATGGGAACCATGCAAGATAAAGGCTCAATCTGATAAGGCTTCACATCCTACTGTGCATTCTGGTAGTGTTCTTGGCTACTCTTTTATTTACACTACCTACAAGTATTCTTTGGGGTGATGGACACCAAAAGCTCTTGTGTCCTTCCCTTTAAACTATCTAAGTTTGGGAGTACTTGGAAAGCAGCAAGTAAACACAAAACATCTTCCTGGAGTACTGATTTTTGACATTTAACATCAAGAAAAAAGGCAAAGTGAAATTCACACTCATTTTTAACAGAACTTCAAGTGGCCCAACTTCTGAATGCTCATCTTAAAAGGGGGTCAGTCACCTTTGCCATCAAGTAAAAGCAACCACCACCTTTTAAAATGTCTATTATCTTTATGCTGACAGGTCTCCTGAGGTTTGAAGTTTTTCCCCAAGTGACCTTGTCTGGCCAGGACGAAGATGGGGCAGACATTGTGCTAGCCCAACTGCACCATCACTATTTACACCTCAATTCCTGATCAGTCACATCCAGTTTGTGTGATATGACTCAAACAGGCATAAAGGCAGACACAAAGATTTAAAGTTAAGTCACACAGCAATGACAGTTTAAGAACTAAGATGGCACAAGCTGCCCTACTCTATTGGTTCTGAGTACTTATAAACAAGGGAGGAATTCACTTGCTTAGATATTTGAAATACAACTTTATTCTGATTCTAAACGAAAAGGAATGGGAATGACAGTAACAAACAAGATTCACCACTGAATATTGTGATGTGACTGTAGCAGTCATATTCAAAACTCAAGAAGGAAACAACTGCGTTCCAAACAGCTAAATATGCAGGTCCAAAAAATGAAGGTATTTTTTTTAACTGCCACATTCGCTCCGAAGCCCATTCATCTCCTTCAGCATTCCACAAATGAAGCACATGTCTGCTTAGCTAGATTTTAGTAAAGTGGCACACACGCGGCACCGCTGACGTCACAGGACAGTTGCCTATAAAACTAGACTTCTGACGCCGGGCTCCAGCTTCATCTTCTCACAGGTCATCATCCTCATCTGGTAGAGCAGTTGTCTGAGCAACCTAGAGAAGAAATGGAGAAATCAAAACATTCCAGATTAAAACTGTCAGGATCCAAAACAAATCTAAGCATTAGCCACAATAAGAACAAGATACCTCTAAATCGTGCTCGTACTGCGCCGCCAAAGCAGGGTCCATGACAACCTCTGGTGGGGCAAGAGCAGGCATGGCAACAAACTCCAAGTTAGGGTCTCCAATGAGCTTTCTAGCGAGCCAGAGGAAAGGCTTTTCAAAGTTGTAGTTACTTTTGGCTGAGATGTCATAGTACTATTTAAAACAAAGAAGAAACTTTTAAGAAACTCACCACTGAAACAATGCTCATTCATCCTGAGAACATCCAAGCTAACATTCTTTCACCCATAGTAATACAGCCTTCAACTCCTCCAATCTTATCTAACTTGTAACTCCGAAAGTTGGCGCTAATATACCTGAAGATTCTTCTTTCGGTGGAAGACAATAGACTTTGCCTTCACTTTCCTGTCCTTAATGTCCACTTTGTTGCCACACAATACGATGGGGATGTTTTCACACACTCGTACCAGATCTCTATGCCAGTTAGGCACGTTCTTGTAAGTAACTCTTGATGTCACATCAAACATTATAATGGCACACTGGGCTGAAAAACATTTATGGCAATCAACACAATCCTAGTTTACCACACAAGCAAGGAAGAACCACAAGACTAAAGTTCAACTAATTTTCATCAGCTCTGGGTTATCCCTATACACTCGATTTAAAAATCCCTTCTTCCAATGCTAAAAATGTAAATTTTAAGACACAATATTGATTAAAATACTTCTTTATAAGAAAACATGGAAGACCAGCTTATCCCCCTAAACACTTTGGGGATGATATGCCTCACCCGCAAAACGTATCAATAGCAATTAGTGCTCGATCAGCACCGAGATCTGCCCGCCTTATTCTGAGAATAGGACCTAGAAGTACACTCTCAAAAGGTCCTTAAGGAGCTGGATGTACTAGAGAACATCACGCTTTTGTTTCAAACACCCCAGGTCAGGCAGTCCGCTGACTCGCGGGGAGGCCGCAAGGCTTCCTAGACAAGGAGCTGCAGGATGTCTACGCTGAAGCAGTTCCTCGGCCCTGAGGGAAACGTTCTGTGTCTATCTGCTCATGCACAAGGAAGGGAAGACATGGAAGGACCCCATCACATTTTCATCACGGCAGGGAAATTCCAAAAGATACTTTTTAGCTGATGCCACAGTACATTTTATAACAGTCACTCCAGTTTCAAAATCGAGCACTAGGGAGCCACATGCAAAACTTGGTGCAGACAGACCCCGGCTCCTCCGCACCGGGGCTACGGGGAAGGCCCCACGGCACCCGGACAGCGCCTCGGGCGCAGGGCTGCTGCCGCCCGCCCCGCCGCGAGCATGACACAGCACGCGCCAGCGCCTGGCCCGCACGCGCGCGGCCCACCTTGGATGTAGTAGCCGTCTCGCAGGCCGCCGAACTTCTCCTGGCCCGCCGTGTCCCAGACGTTGAACTTGATGGGCCCTCTGTTGGTGTGGAACACGAGCGGATGGACCTCCACGCCCAGGGTGGCTGCAAGGCAGGGCGGTCAGCGCGCGCTCCGGGCCCGCCGCCCCGCTCCCCGCGCGCGGCACCTACCTACGTACTTCTTCTCGAACTCGCCGGTCAGGTGGCGTTTCACGAACGTCGTCTTCCCGGTGCCGCCGTCGCCCACCAACACGAGCTGCGGAGACACGCGCGTGAGCCCCGCCCCGCCCCACC